TACGCCACCAATGTCGCCATGACTTCTCGCTACAAAAACACAACCGCTCGGCTCCAAGAGCACGAGTTCCTTCGTCGGCAAATACACAACCACTCGGCTCCAAGAGCGCAAGTTCCTTCGTCGGCACTCACTCAAAAAAAGTGCTACTTGTGTTTGTCTTTCCCTCTGGTACATGCATGATGCTGTTCCACTACAATGAATGTCTCTTTTTCTCTTTGCCTTACCCTCTACCTCGGCTGTTGAGCCCAACTGCATCACTCGCTGCATCGATATCGCTGGTCTTCTGCTTCTACACTACTCGCATTCTGCAAAACCCACCTCGACTGCTTCAAAACATCACTACTGCACAAGTTACTGCCTGCAACAATCAAAAGCAAAACATCTTCGCTCCTAGACTGCCTTGCTTCGGTCCATTCCACACCTGCATCACAAAGACGCAGCTGCCCACAGGTCCCCCGATTTCGTGCAATGTTTCACGTATCCAACCGAAAAAATCCCTGCGTTTCCATATAAGCACCACTTCCTGCATCACCCTACCGCCTACAGACCATTGACCCGATCTGCAACGTCATCCCCTGCCTTGATGAGAAATGGCTGCAGTCTTTATGCCCGAGACTGTTTGAAAAAGCACTGTGACTAAAACAAACTCTACACTTCAATACCCGTGTTTCGTGTCCAGCTTCTGCCATATTGCATGTATTCAAACATGTTATCGTCTGCTCTGATCGTTTCATACTGCATTCCTTGGCTCCAAGGGCACAAGAACCCGTTCCCGATCGTGATACATCCGGCAGTGGTGGCGGCCCTTCAGCAGCCACGATTGCTTGAAAAAGCACGCTGACTACACGAACGTTTCAAAATAAAGACCATTTCCTGCATCACCCTACCGCCTACAGACCATTGACCCAATCTGCAGCGTCAGCCCCTGCCTTGATGAGACCCATGCCAAAATGGCTGCAGTCTTTGAGCCCAAGATTGATTGAAAAGGCACTGTGACTAGAACGAGCCCTGCCATGATCAACCATCCCACGCTGTTTCCATTGCATGTATTCTAACATGATATCGTCTGCCATGTTCGCTTCATACTGCATTCCTTGGCTCCAAGAGCACAAGAACCCATTCCCGATCGTGATACGTCCGGCAGTGGTGGCGGCCCTTCAACAGCCACGATTGCTTGAAAAGGCACTCTGACTACCGAATACAGAGCATTAACCCGATCTGCAGCGTCATCCCCTGCCCTGATGAGACCCATTCCAACATGGCTGCAGTCTTTGAGCCCAAGATTGCTTGAAGAAGCACTGTGACTAAAACGAACTCTACAACCTACACCGGTTTCGTGTCCAGCTTCTACCAAGATCAACCTTACACCAACGCTGTTTCCATTGCATGTGTCCGAACATGTTATAATCTGCTATGTTCCTTTCATACTGACTCCCTTGGCTCCAAGAGCACAAGAACCCGTTCCAGATCGTGTCACTCCCGGAAGCTCTCTAACCACTTACCCGACCCGCAAAATGGCTGCAGCCTTTTAACCCCACAACCACGATTACTTGAAAAAGCACTCTGACTCCAACGAACTCTACCAACGGCACCTGTTCCGTGACCATAGTGACTTCTAGGGCTATGTTAGGCAATCTTGAATTCATTCCAGTCCATTTTGAGCCCTCGTTCAAGTCCCTATCTCGAGGAAGCATGCTTGAGATAGTGACTTCTGGGGCTATGTTCGACCATATGCAAGCTATGCTCGTGAGAAAATGTTACCGTTCCTGGAAATATGGAAGCTATGTTTGGTCACGTTAGGGGGGGTCTTTCTTCCAGTCCCTTTTGAGCCCTCGTTGGGCTATGTTTACGACGTTCACGTCCCTATCTCGCAGACACGTCCTTTAGATAGTGACTTTTAGAGCTATGTTAGGCAATATCTTTACTTTATTCTAGTCCCTTTTGAGCCCTCGTTAGAAAATGTTACCGTTCCTTATCTCTGCTCCTGTTGAGCCAAATATCCGGCGAACGTCTCGAGCTACCTGCGGAAAAGATACACCAATTTGCGACGTTCCCACATTCTAGCGCTATGTTAGGCAATATGGAAGCTATGTTCGGCCACGTTGGGGGGGGGTGACTTCTGGGGCTATGTTCAATGGAAGTACCTACCTTGACCCGTTCCTGGAGCATGACTGCAGTCTTTGAGCCCTCCCATGCGGTGCGGGCGGTTACCGTCGCGAAGCGACGTGAATATAGTGAGCATCCCGGCACTCCCTTCCTCCCTTCCTCCCTTCTTCCCTTGTTTGCTTGCTTGCTTGCTTCCTTGCTTCCTTGCTTGCTTCCTTGCTTGCTTCCTTGCTTCCTTGCTTCCTTCCTTCCTTCCTTCCTTCCTCCCTTCCTTCCTTCCTTCCTTCCTTCCTTCCTTCCTTCCTTCTTTGCTTCCTTCCTTCCTTCCTTCCTTCTTTCCTTCCTTCCTTGCTTCTTTGCTTCCTTGCTCCCTTCCGTCTTTGCTTCCTTGCTTCCGTGCTTCCGTGCTTCCTTGCTTCCTTGCTTCTTTGCTTCCTTGCTTCTTTCCTTCCTTCCTTCCTTCCTTCCTTCCTTCCTTCCTTGCTTCTTTGCTTCTTTGCTTCCTTCCTTCTTTGCTTCCTTGCTTCCTTGCTTCCGTGCTTCCGTGCTTCCTTGCTTCGTTGCTTCCCTTCTTCCCTTCTTCCCTTCTTCCTTGCTTCTTTCCTTCTTTCCTTCCTTCCTTCCTTCCTTCCTCGAAGACAACAGAACCTGGAATAGTATTCCCAAAACACGTTCGAAAAAAAAAAAAAACAAACACAGAAAATGGGGTTCCTGTGTATATCCGTGGCACGAGATTAGCATGACTAGAAACGGCACGTGAAGCATGGTTCAGAGATGTTCAGAGTGAAATCAAACAACTTGAAATTATTTTGCTTTGCTGTTCAGCTTTGAAAGCCCCTTCCTTGGCCAAGATCTTCAGCCTGCAAGGGCAAGCTGCGAAGTGCTCCAATATTCTTGTCCCGCTCCAAAGCTCCATACCCTGCCGAGCTCGCAGCCCGTACGCAGCCACCAAAGAGAGGCACAAAACGTGGTGAGACCAGTGGGTTTGAGGAGCGATCCAATGGAGGATTCAGAACATAAACATCCTCTGTTGATTCGAAACAGCTACTCAGCTGTTGGTACTCTGCCCCGTGCAAAAGGCTTCGCATCTCATACTCCACACGGGGGCGAATCCCGGGAAAATCTGCAGCACCGCCCACCAGCACAACTTGTCTTAGCAAGTCGGCGATATCATCTCGCTTGTACTTTCCTAAAGACTGCACGGCATTTGCACACTGGACAATGATGGAAGGAAGGCTCTGGCCTCCTCGATTTGCTTCAAAAAGAACTTCAGGCACAAGTACACGTTCCTCAGCCAGCTCCAAGGTGCCTGCATTTCGGATTCCAGCATAATCTGGAAGGTCAACTGGTATTGGCCTGATTCCAAAGTCATCCCCGGCTGCCAGCCTGGCTCTCATGCTGCCTCTGCCTGGTGGAGACACATAGCAGTAAGCTTCCTTGAGATCTCGACACCATGTCATGAGAGAGCTGTCCACAGAAGGGGCTTTTCGAACCATTAAAGAGACCATGACCTGCGTCAAATCGGCAGAGCCAACATTGCACCTGGTTGAACACGAACCTATCACCTCTCCTCTTACGACTGGCACTGCAATGGTTTGAGCTTGCCCAATGTTCACCACAATGCCGTGGTCAATGCCATGTGCCCACAATGCCATCTGTGCTTGTGAAACAACTTGTACAGCGCCTGGTCGCTGGTTGCTCAATTGCGAACGGATGTGACTATCCCACTGTGCTCCCATTTCACTTCGATTTGCTGTGATCACGAAGGGCTCTCCAATCAAAATGGGCAAATCATGTGCTCGTCTGACAGCAAGAAGTCTTTCTTGGTCGACCTGTTGCCTTTCTGAGTCTCGGGATGTGCCAATTGTGGGCTCAACTAACCAGCGGCCATCTGAGGCGTCACCGCCTCCCCCCTCTTCCCGTGCACGTAGCCTGACGAGGGAGAGGTCCTCAGCACGAACAGCGTAGTGTCCAACTTTGAGCTCCGAACTTGGACCTAATGCGGCCTTGTGGAGTCTGTGAGAGGGATCTTGTGCCGCAGCCATGAATGCTCTGTCGAGGCAGTGATGGATATAGCTAAGTTGTTCATTCCTGTCGCAATCAGGTGGGTGTGTGGGTGAGGAGCACAACTGAACTAGCTGTGGAGGATACCCATCCAATTCCCATCGCCCTCTAACTCCATGAGCAACAGTGTACTTGGTGTATCCTCGACCAATGTCCACAACAATTGTTGGAGTGGATTCCATTCTCACCTGCAAACGTGCTCTCCAATCGATCCCGACTGGTGTTGTTGTTCCCTCTGCGAAGGCCAGCAGTGCGCCGGACGGAGGCCAACAAGTTCTCAAAAACAACTGGAACCAAAGCTCTGCATCTGCTGTCTCCTGGCCAAACAGTTTGCAGCTGGGGGCCAAGCGGGCAGTGTCCGCCACACTCAAGCTCCACACGATTCCAGCACATACTTCATGGGGCATGTGGAGCAAATGAATCTTGCTGGACGCCTCCTCCATCATGGCGAGCTGCCGGCTACTCAAGCCTTTGTGCTTATCTTTCTTTTGAAGTGGATCTACTTCAACCAGCTTGCTTAAGTTCCTTCAGCCAGCTGACTTAAGGTGCTTCAACCAGCTTATTCAACCTATATACTTATTTGTTTGATTGAAATAGCATTTTTAGCAGCGTTGTTGCCTGTGCATTGTGTGGCGGGCGCCTCTCCCTCAAGTCCAAACAACAAGCAAGCAATCAAGCAACCTAGTCATTGAATGTACAATAGGTCAGACTCCCATGTCATGTGCAGCGAACAAAAAGGAATCTGCAAGCAGGTGAACATAATGAACATCCTTTTCCGCCATCTCTGCGGACCTTGCTCTGCTAGCAACCGACTACAATTGAGCGCATGCTCACTCTTTGGCGGATGTTCCTGCCATCTCAGTGTCCTGGCCAACATGGAATAAGAGCTATTACAGCGTTGATAAGGCAGAAAAAAGACAACAAATCATGAAGGCCTTTTCAAAACCCTCCTATTTCCGGCATCCATCACGGCGGGACAAGCAGGAACCAAACACAACATCCTAGGCAGTACCATGGATAGTACTGCTCCGGCACTCGCGCAGAGCAAAGCAGAAGCTGAACAGCATCCATGGCATTACAAGCGACGCCCAGGCTTTGAAGACGATGTTCAAATTTTTGAAACAGGTGTCATGGCCTCTGGTGGCACTTCAGCTTTGACACCACCTTTTGCGCAGTTTGCATCATTTCAATTACATAAATACGCTACACGGCACAAAGGTAGTTGGCATCTTGTTCTATCTTGATCCAAAAGTATCTCGTCCAACATGCTGCCTCTGCTAATGACGGTGTCCAGCAGGCCAAAGCTTTTTGCCTGCAAAGCAGCACACATCCCAAGGTCCCAAGTTGTAGTCAAAGCTTCAGCGCACAAAGCTGCAAGCTTTAGAGACGGCCCCAAAAGGAAGGCAGCGCCTCCTGGACAGACATATATCTGTCCCGTGCAACGGCATCGACGATATCAGCCTGAGTGAAGCCGGCTTTCCAAACTGCCCAACAGGGGACCTGACCTGCTGAACAAACTTATGACATAGCAAAGCATACTGAAAAAGGCCACGCCTAACCCAGCTAGCTGGCAGCATCTTGCCAAAAGAACATCCTCTGCTGAGATGCTCGCTTTAGGTTTGCCCGTCAGGACACTGAGGACAAACTCTAGAGTCTCCTTTGTGTGTCGAAGCTCCTCTGCCTCCAGCACCCCAACCATTTCAGTGTTGCAGCAACCCGGGATATGAAAGATTAAGAAAGTACGCGTCCAGCAATCAAATTCAGATCCTTGTTGGCAATCCACTGGAAACGTGCCTTTAAGATGACATCAGACGCTGATAGCTTCGGGTAGGAGCAACTGGGTTCCTGAGTTCTCCATAATACATGTGCACAACAATAGTGCTTGCCGGAGTCCAGAAAGTTATTGCGTCCAGTTTCGTGAATCATCAGTCTGGCATTCTCGTATGCAGACCTCAGAGACGAGAAAGGAGGGACGGGACGGGACGGGGCGGGACCGGGGCGGGACCTGACCGGACCGGACGGAGGAACGAGAGGAAAGGGGGGAGAAATTAATTCTTGTTCCCAATAGCTTCTTGCTCCTAGTAGTAAGGCACTTGTTACTAGAAGCGATGCACTTGTTCCTAGTAGCGAACATTGTTTCTAAGAGTCTTCAGTGCCATTGACTTGAGATCTCAGGAAAAGACCTATGGCCTGGAGTTCCAGCCTCAGCACACCAATGGGCCACAAAGAGAGGGTTGTTCTGTTGACACTGAAAGAAGCATGCTGAAAACACAGAGAACAACTCGTTGGAGGAGTCGGAATTAGCAATGACCCTGAATTGACAAAGAGATGCCAAGGCCCCAGCAGCTAGTAGCACAGCAGCAATTGAGAAGCAACGCCCATAGCCCACCTGAGCCACAAGTACAACAAAGTGGCAAAGATGAAACAACATCCATATCTACAAATGATGGCAGTTGTTGGCAGCAATTCGTAATTCTGATTGGGTGCAGACTGTCTTTAAGGGTGTGGAGACGTTCCTCATCACATCCAAAATGGCCAAGCCGCTGTGCACCTAGCCGCTAGCCAATTAGCTTCATTCCCTCTGCAATTGGCTTCAGTCTACCTCATCCTGTTGACTCATCAACGACCCGAACAAAACAAAACCAGGCCCTAGCGGGCGCACAAGACCACCCCCCGAGTTGATGAAGATCGTCACTGGAGCTTCTGGATCGTCCGCCTCCGGATGTGCTGGTGAAAAATTGCATGAACACTTTGAGTCTTCCAGTGCAAGCATGAACTCTCCCTCAAAGAGTGCATCCCTGATTTGTATTGGTTTCCAATCTCAGCGGCATCAGTTGCGTTATCTGCCAACGAACATGTTTGGCATTTTGGCCCAGGAGAGCCTCCAACTTCGTCACTAAGCGACCGAAGGTGGGGAAATGCATTATCAGGAAGAAGCTTGCGGATTGGCCAAGCTCTGTACATTTACGAAGCCATACTAAGTCCACACAAGATTAAAGTACGACTCGAAGCACAATGTTAGAACAGCTTCTGTGCCTGCTGATCTGATTTAGAACTCTTCTGATCGGATTTGGAGCTCCTTTGATCCGATTTAGGGCTAACACCAACGTCCTCGCAACCTTTCTGCTCACCCTCGGTGACCAATTGAAAGAATGCGGCACCATCCGCTGGCAAGGCATGACTTCGGGTTTCCGTCTGAAACACATAGCACATGCTGCCCGCATCAGGAACTAGCTGCATTCCAGGCTTGAAATGAATGACTGCGATGTCGTGGATAGGATCGCCTTTCAGATCAAAACCCATGCAATCCTGTAAGTCGATGCAAACCTTTTTTGCAGCCTCAACGCTCATCTCAGATACAAGCAAATCCGCACCATCCAAAGTATAGCCCTGGTGCCTGGTGAAGAGTGGAGATGCTCTCTCTTTCTGATATGAAATGGCGCCAGCAAGTGGAGTAAAGTTCCAAGCGGCTTTAAAGTGCCAGTCAACTGGACCATCGCTGTTAGCAGGCTCGTCCGAGTAGAAACCCACGCAATTTGGCAAACTAGTGCATCGCACTTTAGCATCTGCAAGAGTCATTGTTGCCATCAAAACATCTTCGCCTTGTAGGATCCCATCATGCACTGTGAACATTGCTTTCGGCCGAGATATCAAAGCTTCAAGCTTCCAGGGGGCGATCATTGGACTTTGTGCACCACCTTCCTCACGCCACTCGTCTCGTCCCAGAAACTCCAGGGGCAGCTGATCTGGGCTTAGGCCGTAGTCACTTTTGAAAATATCGTTGCAGAGAATGGGGCTCTCATGATCTGCAGACATTCCAGGAACGCAAACGACATTGTGGGGCTCGATGTGCAAAACACATCGCACTCTGCCCAGGCCCAAAATTGCAAACGGCATCTCCAGCAACATCATTACCAGGTCACCATAGTCATCTGCCGGGCTGTTCGCGCTGTATGCACTTGCTGCTGACAAGGCCTTGACTACGTCCACCAGCACTTCCTCACCGACACCTTCAAGCTTGTCTCGCCAAACGATTAAGAGTGACACTGCTCTCAGTGCCACGGCTGTTTCAGTTTGCGGCTGCCCGGTTGATAGGTCCAGCGCGTGTTTGATCGCCCATGCCTGGATTGCCTTTTGTCCACTGTTGCAAGGTTTTGGACAAAAAAGAGTGCCAGCTGCATGCAACACCATCCAGCTCACCAACCACCCGAGCTCATTGTTGTCATCGCTCCGTTCAACCCGCATTGAACTAACCTGATGAGACTCTGTCATGGTCAACGCTTGGGCTGTGGTGGTCACCTCGTCCAAGGCAGCACTCACTGAATACTCGGAGTTCTCAAGCGTCTCAGGAACCCTGGAGCCCAAAAGTGAGATCAAGCCGTAGATGATCAAAACAACACAGGCAACCTGAAAGCGATGACCTTCAAGGGTCTTATGTTGTTGCCAGTTCCTCTTCATGCAACCTCTGAGCTCCTGGAGGGTGGAAGAACAGAAAGGTGCTTAGAAGGCACCTTGAAGCATGCTTGCTTGAAGCAACATGATGCTAAAACTTACTCCCTCGCAAACTTAACTTAAAACAAGCCTATCAAATTCAGTCAGTCATTCAGTCAGTCAGTCAGTTTCTACAATAGTTTGTAGCAACTCAAGACTCTGTCGCCCTCTCGACTATATTTCCCGGAACAAACACATAGAAACAACTTTAGTCAGTGTGGTCCTCCAGAATACTCCAAATTGTCGAGCCATCGGAGATTTGCATAGCAGCAAACAGCCGAACAGCCAAGCGGTTTACAGAAACTGATGATGCTCTGCCGCACCCAAAACACAGCTCTAAGAGGAACTTTGCTTGCAAAAGTGTGGCCAATTGCAAATGCTGCAATGGGTTGGACAGTTTCAAGTTCCTTGATTCGGCAAGAGCTTGCTGGAGCTTCTTGTAAATAACCTCTGGCAGCGGGTCATGGACAGTGCTCATCGCAGCACCAACACAGATTGCTGACTGAATTCGGGCAGAGATTGCGCAGCTGGTCTGGCGGTGCTGTATCCTCTCTCTGTTTGCTTCGCTGCCGTCACTGATGTTTGCCTCAGCTTGAAGACTTTGCGTGAGGGCATCAAGCAAACCTGCAGCCAACTCCAGCGGGTTGGTGAATAGAACATCATCGCATGAAGCACAGGGTTGACTTACACCTGTCGGGCCGCATCAAATGATTGTGTGTTTATCTTATAATTTACACATTTACACAAAATCAGAAATTTTATCGAGATGCAAGCGTTTGCAAGTGAGACATTATCAGCACGGTGGCAAAATCGTTAAATCATGGAGCATTGGAGCATCATGGAGCATGTAAATTGCTCAACCTTGCCTGGCATATCCCATACATGAAGTCGATTTCTTGGAGAGACTGTGCAAACAGCATCACCTAGCCCCCCTGCATGTCCTGCTTGTTCAGGACATGGACGCACCAAACGCTTTCGCCGGGGGCAAAGCTCCACATTGCCCATGGACTGTCAAATCATCCCATGAAAATCCTAGATTGTACCGCAAATCCAACGCAGTCACAGGACCCCTAGTTGCAGCCAGAAACATCAGTGTTGATTTAGCAAATCAATTAGACTTGTCAGACTTATCTGGCTGTATTGCACCAAGGTACGCCTCTATGAAAGGTAAACTTGTTCTGAATACTTCATGCTACATTTGAGCCCGTTTCATCTGCAAACCTTGACCTTTCTGACAATCAACACACATCTTAACATTGAGTGTTGGAACTTAGTGCGGCTTGAAGGGGCATCAAGAAAGTCTGTCCTTTACACTTTACACATAAATGCTTGGATGGTCTCAATTTGGATGTTGGTGGGACAAATCTTGTACGTATTCTTCTGCGAAGAAGCTGGGAACTTTGGCGATTTCATTGCTTGTCCAAGAGGTTTTGTGGCACACAGGAGCAGTTTGGATGTTCGGATAATCTTTTTCGTAATTTTCAGTTTCTCCTCCGCCCCGATGTTTATGTGTCTGTGACAAGCCTCGAGGAATAAAAGCTGCTGCACCAAGACCTCCCGCACGCAGTTGGCTATGAACACACACACAAAAAAATACGCACACAGGACACAAATCAAGTGAACCACTGTGCTTTGCGAAGTCTGAACCTAGCCTTTGCCGAATCGTCGTTGACCTCGCCCGTAAGGAAAAGGCGTCGAGACTTCAGCATCTCCTACCAGCGCAAAATGGAGAAACTTGCTTTTCGAACCCTAGAAAAAGCATGAAAAAGCTCGTTTCTTCGGCAGGTCGCTGAGAGCTTGAGCCAAACTCCCAGCCTGATCCACATTCACAGTCCGCTGGGGCTTCTTTGCACCTCATCATCTTTGCCCCCAAAAAGTCAAACCGAGCATGATTCGGCAAAAACGTACATGTGCCTGTCTCAGGCGCTTTTGGCTCCGATTGCTCCTCAAACTGAATTCAATCTGGGATTCCGATCTCACTGCGAAATCTGCTTTCACTAGAGTAATATAAAGTATTAATATTTTCTGCAGGTTTCAGAACTTTCAGACCTGCAAGGCCGGGCTGGCTGGCCACAACAAGGCTGCGCCTGCAGCTCCGGCCAGTACCTTTGAGGGGTTGCTGCAGGCCCTTGAGCTTGCCCAAGGTGGGTGAGTGGTGAAAAACAAGGACGCAAACAAACACATGAGATTCCTGATATCGTCTATATTTCCTAGAAAATGCTTAGATTTTCTATATATGCTATCGAATCCTTAGATTCTTTGAGCCCTTCGCAATCGAAGGTTGTCGTCTACTTGTCTCCTTCACGTCCTCACGACTACCAGATTCACATCAGTGTAGTCCTCCCTTGAGCCCGCGGCCGGAGCAATCCTCCTCAGCTGAGCACCTGTCTCGTTAAAGCTCGAACAATGTAAGCTTAAAACTTAAAAATTGAAAAGTCATAAGTAAAGTGACTTGGAACATGAAGAACATGAAAGTGTTTTCTATAAAGGCACAATGAACATGCACCTGAACGGTCAAAAGCTTCAGTGCTCCAGCCTGAGCCAAGTCGAAAGGCACCGCAACCTGCATGTCCAACGGCAGGAGCCTGGAAAGTGCCAAAAAGAAACAGCAAAAACAAACAAAACAAAAACACTAAAACAAATTGTTTAAGTCTTTTGCTCTTGCTCCATCTTGCTTGAGTGAAGCACTCGTCCCAAGACATGCAGCCATTGTGTTGGCATACCTCGAAAGGTACTATTCTGTTTCTGCGTGTTTGATACCATATTTATCAGTTTGTACAAATTAAGGGGTGCCCCCTGAACACGGGAAAGGCATAGATAGAAGAACTCCGCACACCACCAAGCTCCCATTAGCATTAAGCCTCACAGGGAAATGGGATTTGTCGTACTCTATTGAAACATGACCATGCATTCCGAACGTGCCATCTACACTTGACAGTGCTTTGGCATGTGGTTCCATACAGCATTTGAGCCACTGGCTGCAGAGACGTCATGGTATGCATGGCCGGCCCGGCACTAAACTGGTCAACTGAGCTGCACGGCGGTCCTTGAGGAGCAGTCTTAAGCACTCTTGTGCAGCTTGTGCACAGTTTCCTTTTGATCCTTTTGCACGGTTTTCGCGCAAAGTGGTAGCTTTGACCATATTACATTGCACAAGCCAGGAGGCACGCAAAAGGCATGACCCACGCTGCCTTGGCGATCCTGACAATTTGTGCAAAACAAAGACGGGTTCCGAAAGCCAGGTAAGCAGTGTTCAAATTCCAAAACCATTAAACTATGTATATATATATATCAACTGGGAACACACATCCAAGAATCACCATGTTCTACAAAGTAGCAATATCAATTGCACGGACACAGACGCCAAATAGCATGATCAAACGCGTCAACGCGATGAACCCACCAAAGCGGCAAAGCAGCAAAGCAACTTGGGAATGAAAGGTGAGCGAGCCGACCTCACCGACTGCAGCGTGACCATACAATGGTGAACTCTGCAGGCAGCGAGGTGGCCGCAGAGCACTGAAAACTGATGATGTGCAGCAACTACAATGAGACAACACAGCTGGCAGAGTCAACAAATAGAAGAGGCCGTGGGAGGCAGCAGTGATCAAAGGAGGGCATCAAAAACAAAATATTCGACGGTGATCAAAAAGAATCAGAAAAGAAGGGATCAACAAAAATATTCCCAGTGAGCAATGAAAGGGAAAGGAAACTAGGGGAAAAAAAAACAACAACAGCAGGGCGGGCGACCAGAGGACCATGAAAGGATAATTGCAACAAATAATCTCTTGTGCGAGGGTGTGCAATACCTGCTGTGTGGATATGCGATGGGGTGACCCTTAGAAAATCGGTCGTGGCAGCCCAGTGCATTGACCAAAGTAGTGCAGATTTCGTGGCGGCGAAGCGGGGTTGCAAACTACAAAAGCCACCAGACGCTGAAGGCACCACAACATACACCGTATTACCCTATCAATGAGAGGCCCGTCCACCACAGTGAAAGGATGCTTGCAACCGCGTGCAGCACCAAACCAAACATCAAAAGGCACCACAAAATAGATCACCATCGAAAACTACACACCCGATTGCCTCATCAATGATGGGCACTCAGAAAGTGACGCAAGGACCAAGGACCACGAGGCCAGCGGACCAGGGCAACAGAATAACAGAAAGGACCAGCAAGCCAAATGAAAGGACCACAGGACCAAAGAAGCAGGGGACCAAAGGACCAAGGGACCAAAGCACCAGGGGACCAATGGACCCAGGGACCTTTCCTTTGAGTGGACCAAAGAACCAGTCCAGGAGACCGAAGGACCAGGGGACCAGCGGACCAGGAGACCAAGGGCCTAGGGGCCACTAGACTCGAAGACTTGATTTTTGTTGATCCTTTACTTTTTCTTGTTGATCCTATTATGTGTTTCTTTTGATCCTTTACATTCTTATTTGTTGGTCCAAATGCCATCAAAGGAGGCTCTATGAAAGAAGCCCAAGTCCACTTCAAGTCCACCTTTTTCCCTTCACTTACACTTCTACTTCTACTACTACTACTACTACTACTTCTATTACTACTTCTTCTTCTACTACTACTTCTTCTACTACTACTTCTTTTTCGTCGTCGTCTTCTTCTTCTACATACGTCTTCTTATTGTGTTTGTTTGATTATTATGTTTCTTGTTCTTCTTCTTCTATATACTACTACTACTACTACTACTACCACGACGACTACTACTACTACTTCTTCTTCTTTTGCTTCTTCTCCTTCTCCTTCTCCTCCTTCTCCTACTTCTTCTTCTTCTTCTTCCACTTCTACGTCTTCTTCTTCTTCTTTGTCTACTTTTTCTCCTCCTTCTCCTCCTCCTCCTTCTTCTTCTTCTTTGTCTTCCACTTCTACTTCTACTTCTCCTTCTTCTTCCTCTTCTTTCAAATCCTTTATTTTATGTTTGTTTACCTTTATCTTTCACTGCGTATTCTTTCTTCGTTGACTCCTCTGGGTAGACCCTGAAGATCGGATACTGGAGGATACCAAAGGTCTTAAATAGTAGCAAGAGTAGCGAGTAGTATGCAAGTAGTATGCTGCAAGTAGCAAGAGACGTAGCTTGCAAGATGCTGCAACTTACGTGGCTTTTGTCGAAAGTTGTTCTTCACTTTGCCGCGAAAGCACATTTAAGGTTTCGGTGCATATGTGTAGTGCTTTCAGATGCGGAGCTCGGAGGAAGAAGCTTTCTTGAAGAACCCTTCATATCATTCATATCGTCGAAAAATTGTCCAAATTTTTAGACATCTCTTCCGTCCTTCCTTTCTCTCTTGCTTTCTTTACCAAGATCGGGCTCTAGAAAAGCAAGAATTGCTGCTATCTGGGCCCCCAAAATGATGGCTGCCTGCTGTGAAGGTCTTCCTCACATTGCACAACTGCAGCACCTGGTCGGAGTTTCTGGCAATGATGCATAAGATGCTTCCCAAAGGCGCATGCAGGTCATGATAGGTCATGCACACATTGCTCAAAAGAGTCAGACCAATCCATGGCACAGCTCCACATGGTTTCGATGCATCTTCTTGCATAAACAGAATTTAGCAAATGGAATGGAAGAGAAAGAAATAGTATTTTATCCTTGGCGGCAAATATCAAGATCATCTGCCATTATCATCACTTTAGAAGCAAGAACCTACACAGTACATATTTGAGTCCTGAGTCATGCATGAGCTCAAAAGAAGCGAGAGAGAGCAACTTTCATCAACAGGCACGGCCCAGCCTCTTTGCTTGTAACATCTTTTAACAAGCCATGTTGAGTAGCATCAAGGAATCAGCGTATGCAACATCACACCGCCAGTACCTGGCTGCAAACAGATTCTCACCACATGGTTACCGAGTTACTGAATGTTTGACATCAGTCAGTCCTAAATTCACAAGGGTGGGCACCACAGCTTGCCATTGCTGACACGAGCAACAAATTGAAGATCAGGCCTTGGGAATTGCAAAATTGCTGCAACTTGAAAAAACATGAGCGACCAGGCATCAGGCGCCCAAAGAGACCAAGAAGTGCCCAAGCATTGAGATGGACACGCCTGTCCACTGATGTGCTTGGGCATGAGTTTGCACATGGGCATGCTAATTTACATGCCTCATCTGCTCCAACAGGGAAGTTGATCAAATTGTGAAACTGAGATCTACCTCAGCGATCGGTTCATTGGATCTTTGCTTGGGCACCAAAGGTCGGTTGGGCCTGACCCCAAATAATTGCAATCCATTTCCGCCCACCCATCTATCTAGCGTGACAATCTTCGAAGATGGGAAACGTTTTTTGTTGCCCAGGGGGAGGGTAGGACGAGAAGAGGTAGGGTAGCTCACGCTCGCACTAATCATTTGGTTCCTAGACTCCTAGATGTTTAGGGAAACTTTTAAAACAATCGTCCCAATGGTGTCAATGGGCACCACCCCACGCTTCTCCATCCCAATGAATTCATTCCGACCTGAGACTTGAATCTGATTATGTTTGATGAATTTATACTATTTTGGGCAAAACGACTCTGTTTGGTGATCAAGGCGATGGCCAACAAAACGACACAGTTCCGCGAAGTGAATGCAAGCGGTGCAACTTGAAAGCAGCAGAAAACCCACCTACGTTTCAAACATGTTCTATTGGGGCGCTTGATGATGCTTGATGTTGAGTTACTCAGAACTGCCATTTGTTGCCATGTCAGTTTTGTGCATTGCCTGGCTTCACCGCGATTATATTCGTTTCCAACCTCAGAAATCTTGAGTTTCCAACCACACACCACAGCCCCATGCAAGATGGTCTGATGGAAGTAACACCTGGAGGGATCATCACAACCGACCGTGTCATGTTGAACCTGTACCAACATGAAAGTCCAACGGATCTGAGGCACCCACTGCCATGGGAGGTGCTGCCCAGTCTTCAACTCTCAAAAGCCTTGCTTGCCATTTTGCTGCTTGCCATTACGGTTTTAGAATCTTCACGCTGCAGTTCCATGAATATATATATATATGTTGAAGGCTAGCATGAATGCCTCCACTCGTATGCCTTTCGTACCGCAGGGACCGCATTTGGCTGAGGAAAATGCCACGCGTGCCCGTGGGTGTCGATAGGACTCGACTCGGGTTGTTTTGTGATTGGTAGCGGAGCCCCGGAAAGCCGGGGCTCCGGGTAGGTAGGATCCTGCTCGGTTTAGCATGAATGCCATGAGTTCCACTGAGTCCACTGGCCTGCGAACCTTTTCTGGTGAGTCTGAAGATGCCAAGGAATACAAACGCTGGCGTACTTGGATCACCAACAAGATCCTTACACTGGGAGACAAAGTTCCTGACAGCGCCACAGGCGCCTATGTTTACACCCTGCTGGCTGGGAAGGCCCTGGAGTGTGTTGAACATTTGGAGCCCTCCACGTATCAGAAGACTGGAGGGGAAAAGGTGATCTTCGAGTTACTGGATCAGAGGTTTCCGCAAAAGGATCAGTCGGACGAGATGTCTGAGGTCCTGACTGAAGTGTTCCAGCTTCGAGCTCATGACGGAGAGACATTGAAGGCTTGGGTATCCCGAGCCACTGAAGTGTTCGATCGAGTTCATCGCAAGGTCAATGTTTCTTTCCCCGAGGAAGCTCGTGGCTGGTTGATTTTACACCGCGCTGGTTTGACGGAAGAGCAAAAAGCTGTGGTACTGTCCCGCTCCTTGGGTGTGCTGAAGCGAGAGGAGATCGGGAGAGCAATGCGTTCCTGCTATCCGGAACTGGTTGTGGGAAAAAGAAGCCCATGTCAGCTGCAGCCATTGTTGAAGAAGAACCCCCTGATGTCGATGAAGCTGATTCGACCATCGCCGAGATGGAGCTGTTCCTGGCTGAGCATCAGCTGGAGACAGCTGTGGACCCTGAAGAAATCTTCGATGAGCGAGATGTCGCTGAGGCCCTGGCAGTTTCGTGGAAAGAACGACGTAAGGAGATGGTCAATCTTCGACGTGCCCGCAAATTCACTCAAGCTGGTGATACAAAGCGCAGCTTCAAGGTTGAGATTGAAGAAATGAAGCGTCGTACAAGATGCAATCGTTGTGGGCAGGTTGGCCATTGGGCGAGAGAATGTTCCAAGCCTAAAGGTCAAGGCAAGGGTACCAAGACCTCCTCCTCTTCTGCTGGTCGAACCTCTGAAAGTGGAGCCGCTCTGGTCGAAGATTTTGTGGCAATGGTCTCTCCACATTGTGAGACTTGCCGCTCGCTGGAGTTCCTGCGGAATAGAAAGGAAGGTAAGACAGTAACATCTGAACCTGTCTCTTCCTCTACATTGAGCATTGAGCAGTTGTTGGTCAGTTCACCGGGTTTCGGTGTGTTGGACAGTGGGCGTGGCCGATCGATTATTGGTGCCTCTACGCTTCGTGAGTTCGAGGCACTTTGGAGTGATCGTGGTTGGACAATTCCTAGTCCTGTACCTGAAGTGAACCACTTCAAATTTGGAAACGGCCAGAAGGAAAGCACCTCACAGTCCATCAGTGTGCCGGTTTTGCTTGGTGGACGTTCGGGTACCATCAAAGCTGCTATCGTGCAAGGGAATGCACCACTGCTCATTTCTCGCAACGCTCTCAAGACATTGAGAGCAGTGATCGACTTCGCAGCCAGTGAACTCACCTTGTTTGATGAGCGGATCACGGTTCCGCTGTGCACCAACCAGGCTGGTCAATTTACGGTTGACCTGATGGGTCAGCCCGATGTCAGTCTGAAGCCATTTGCTGAGGCGATGCATCTCGAACCGACTAATGCACCTCAAGACACTGCCGATCCCGCTAGTGAAGATGTCCCTGCGGAAAGCCATGTGTCCAATCCTGATGCCACCACCGCAGATTTGCAGGCTCGACGGACCTGATATCCTGGAGTCGTACTGATAGCTATATCAAACAGGTTCCATCCGTAGGTAAACAAGGTCCTGTGTGGCAGTCCGTCCGACGTCGAATCGTGACTGATTTGGACACCAATGCCGTCTTGTTTGATGATTGCATGCAGCCTCAACTAGGTAAGTCTCACTATGTTCGCATGTTGCCCAGTCATGTCATGCATGTTCGAACCGAATTCTTCTTCGTGCCTCAGGAGATGAATACGACCATAGAGACTTTGCCTGTTCATCATCTCAGGCAACTCGAACGTCAGGTGCGGGATGTCACACCTGTAAGGGCTGGTTGTTCGAAGCTGGAAGGAAAAACCTTTTTGGTCGCCGAAGTGTTCTCACCATGCAGGTTTGCCTCTCACGTGGAATCCATGAATTTTTCCACTCGGTCATATGACCTGAAGACGGGGTTCGATTTCCGCCTCAAGACGGATCGAGAAGCAGTAGCCCAAGAATTGAAACAACATCCACCTGAGCTGTTGATTTTGTGTCCACCCTGCACGGATGAAGGAGGATGGTTCAATCTCAATGCAGCGTACCTGGGCCCCAGAGAACTGACTCGTCGAATCGCTCAAAGCAGATTGTACATTCGTTTCTGTGCGCAGCTCTTTGAACAACAGTTGAAGGCAGGTAAACAGGCCCTTCTTGAGCATCCGCACGGTTCCAGGCTGTGGAACTACCCCGAAGTGAGAGAGCTGATTCAGCGCTGTCACATTTTGAAGTGTCATATGCGCCGATTCGGCCTTCGACTTCCGGGTTCTGACAAGCTGATTCGTAAGGCAACACGTTTGTTAGTCAGTCATGAATCCATGTCATGCTTGGCTAAGACCTGTCCAGGTAGACAACACACTCGTCACCAATGTCATCAACCCATTGCCGGTTCAGCCCCAGGAATAGGTTCTGTCAGCACCTTTGCCGGTCAGTATACTCCACAGTTCGTTCAAGCTGTTCTGAACACCGTTCCCCGGTACGTCCAAGAGTCAGCCATTGGTTTAGTCAATTGTGAACCGGAGCCGATGCCCGAAGAGGTGCTTATGGCTAAGGCTGATTTAGACAATCCACAGGCCACAGATGAGCAACTCTTGCAAGTGTTGGATCGTTTGCATCACAACCTGGGCCATCCGCCTAGTCATGACCTTGTCCGGGTTCTCAAACATGCCCATGCCAGTGATCGATCCATTGCTTTGGCCCGCAAGTATGAATGTGACCTGTGTAAGGCACATATCCGACCTCATGTGCCCTTGCCAGCCAAGAGCAGTCGTGTGTGTGAATTCAATCACACGATCGGTCTAGATGTGAAATTCCTGCCTGGATGGAAGGCCAACCAGAAGATCAAGGCATTGAACGTTGTGTGCCATGGTAGCTGCTATCAAATGATGTTGCCCTTCCACGAAACCGAAACCTCTGCCCTGATCCGCAGGTTGTTCGCCGAAAACTGGATTCGAACCTTTGGACCTCCACAGGTGATTCTGGTTGATCAAGCTCGTACCAATATGGGGGAAGCTCTTCAAGATTATTTAGATTTGCAAGGTACCGAGGTGAAGCAAATTCCAGGTGAAGCACATTGGCAACTGGGAAGGACAGAAAATCATGGGGGTTGGTTTGCTCGTATCCTTACTAAAGTGATCAGTGAACATTGTCCCGAAGATAAGAAGCAATGGGAGGAATGTGTCATTCACTCACATGTAAAGAACAGCATGATCCAATATTATGGGCATACCCCTCACCAGCATGTTTTTGGCAGAAATCCTCGAGTGCCCTCTGATCTACTGGATGAACCTTTGAGTGTTGTGCCTGCCACTGCTGGTTTGTCAGACGAGCAAGCAGCCAAAGCGCAAGCAATTCGGACCACAGCCCGTCAGGCCGTGATTGAAATGCAAGACAGTCAGTCCTTGCGCCGTGCTTTAGCTGCCCGCCCGCGGACTGATCGCAAGTTCGCTCCAGGCTGTCTGGTGGCCTATTGGCGAAATCAGAAGTTCCAAGCTGGTGAAGGTGTAGTCACTGGAGGTCGCTGGTTTGGTGTAGCGGTGGTCATCGGGGCCATTGGCCGAAACTATGTTGTCGCTCACAGACGACAAATCTTTCGTGTTGCGCCCGAACAACTAAGACTTGCCACTTCCGAAGAATCCGCTACCGTGGAGACCCCTGAAGCCGAATTGCTGGGTATCCAAGATTTGATTGAGGGTGGTACCTTTCGTAGCAAGAACTTCATTGATTTGGTGCCTGCACATTATCCTCCCAATCAGCCAGTGGGAGATCGTCAACCAGGTGAGATGTCTCTAGAGCATGAACTGAAATTCCTCAGATTGCACCAGAGCCACAACCAGTCCCGTAGAGCCCGAGGCAAAGCCTTCAGCGACTGATGAGCCTTCACAGGATGTGTCCATGCCAGGGCAGTCTCATTCCCCAGAAACTTCTAATGAGTCAACTGATAGACCTGATAAATCATGGATCATGCCAGACAATGCCTATGGACCTGTGAGAACTCGCCATCGCTTGTCCTCCAAGAGTGAACCATCCACTCTGTATCGGCCACCTTCGATGAGACAGGAAGACTTTGTGGAGATCATGCGAGAGATTGTACCACAGCTCATTGAACAGAACATCCAATCCACAACCTCCTCTCAAGCTGAAAATGTCTCATCTGAACCAAGTAGTGCCAGCGGCATCAAGCGGTCGATTGATCCAACCACAGAAGAAACTCAAGAGCCACCGACCTCGAAACCCAGAGTTGAAGAGCATCTTCTTGTGGATTCCCATTCATGTGACGAAGTCTTGTCTGTACAGGATTGTCAACAGTTGGGAGCCCTATGGGACCACACTCAAAATATAGAAGTGCTAGTTGCTGCGTTCCTCCAAAAGAGAGCATCCAAGGAAATCCCTGCTAGTGGAAATGAACCCCGACTCCAAGAATTGGTTGATGCCTCCAAACTTGTAGAATGGAACACCATGCTTGAAAAGAATGCCATCAAAGTACATACCGGTCAACATGCCGCATGGTTGAAGAAACAACGCCCCGACAGATTTATGGGTAGTCGATTTGTGATCGTTCGCAAGCCTCTGGAAGAGAATTTGCATTTGGGCATCCATGACCCGAGCACGTTTCGTGTCAAGAGCAGGTGGTGCTTGCAAGGTCACTTGGACCCCGATCTCGACCAAAAACTGGGGGAGGGTTTGCTTCAGAGTCCCACGCTAAGTCAAATAGGACGGATGATCCTCATGCAATTGGTCACCTCCCATCAGTGGGATTTGCAGTTGGTGGATATAAAGGGAGCGTTCTTAGAGGCAGGAGAACGCTTTCGTCCTCTCTTCGCACACCTTCCGGCTGGGGGTATTCCTTCTGTTCCCGAAGACGTTCTGGAAGTGGTTGGAAACGTATACGGACAGAATGACGCTCCAGCTGCATGGCACAAAGCTTTCGACACAGCAGCGTGTGAGTTTGGTTGGGAAAGATCGTTGTTTGATGCCTGCTTGTATTTTCTTAGAGATGATAGCGGTCGTCTTTGCGGCGTCATGGGTGTCCACGTGGACGATACTGCTCTGGGAAGATTCGAAAAAACAGTGAAAGATCTTCGAACAAGGTTCCCATACAGGAAATGGCGGATACAATCGGGAGAATTCTGTGGAGCCTTCTATTCTCAAGACCCCAAAACCAAAGAAATATCGATGTCACAACAGACTTTCGCCGAAAGCATTCGTCCAGCACATATTGCTAAGGGAACTGACAATGAACAACCTCTCCTGGATTCCCAGATCCGTGTTCTAAGGGCCATCAATGGAAGTCTGAATTGGATTTCTAGCCAGTCTCGACCAGATGTTGCTGTACAGACCAGTTTGAGCCAACAAGTGTTTCCCAATCCTAAGATCAAACATCTTCGAGATGTGAACAATGCGGTTCGTCGTACCAAACAACGCAAAGATGTGAGAATACAGTTCAAAGCTATTCAACCGAATCGACTTCGTTTGTGTTGTCACTCGGACGCCGCTTTCGCAAACGTTGGAACTCACACTCAAGCTGGCTATATTGCGGCTTTCGTTGACCAAGGGTTGGATGTAGGAGAAATCAGTCCATGGACACCCTCGACGTGGAAAAGCTACAAGCTGCCTCGCGCGGTGTCATCAACCTTAGCCGGAGAAAGTCAGGCCCTTGCAACCGCCTCAGGCACGGTCGAATGGGCTAGTCTGATTTTGAGCGAAGCCTTAGATGGCAAGTTCGAGCCAAGACTCAGCCGTCAGAGACTATGTGCAAGACCTCCAATACTCACCACCGATTGATTGTAAGTCCTTATATGATCATTTGACCTCACCGTCTTCTCCCACAGCTGTGGATGATCGACGAACAAGCATCGATATTGTAATCATTAGGGAATCCATCAAGGCCACCAAAGCATCAATACGTTGGCTCCCTACCAATCGTATGTTGGCAGATGCTCTCACCAAAGACAAGATGGATCCAGTTGATCTCCTCAGATCCTGCCTACGCAGTGCCACATATCAAATTTCACCCGAAGAACATGTCCTGGCTCAGCAAGCTGCCGAAAGAGAGCTTCGGATGCAGAGACGCAGCCTTTCCACCAAGGCGAAAACACATCCCCATGAGCCGCTGGACACCGGCGATAATTAAGATAGTTGCAGATTCTCAAAAGGGAGTAACAGTCTTGTTGTAATGTCTAACTGACAATCAGTGAGGGATACATTCAATAGCCGCTGTTCGTGAGAAAATACTGCAAGCCCTTTTTGTGCATGATGTAAGGTGTTAATGCATGCGTCGCCTGCAGCCTCTTTTGATTTTCGAAGGCCATCTCACTTAGGCGCTGTGAAGCGCGTTTAGATGACTTGGACACCACAGGATGCCGAACAACTCCGAGCCTTGTACCAAAAGGCTTTGCGCCATGGTCTCGAGCCTGTTGAGGCCCTCGGTGGATTTCCACACGTGGATGATTTCGAAGTGGTCGGAGCCATGTCCGATGCTACGAAGCGTCAATTGGACGCACAGTTCCCGATCAGCAGCAAGGCAAATCGAAAGCAGGGCTCTTCCTCCGAAGGAGTTGATTCCAAGATCTCTGACGGAGGATATGCTGTGAAGTCGTTGGAACCTCCTTTTCCCACCACGGATCCTGCCTTGACCGCTGTGGGTTCGCCTGAGCTCCCTCCTGGTGTGATCAACACTGCCCAGTGGGGAAAGACCCAGATCAATTTTGGCAAGTTCAAGTCCCGCAATTGGTCGTACATGGACCTGCTGCAATCAAATGAAGAAGATGCCAAGAGCTACGTGAAGTGGTGTCGAGCTCGCACCAACTCGGCCGGCGGTGAGCTGAAAGATTTGCGCCTTTTCCTCTATCGCTTTGAGTTGGAAGCCTCTCATGGCAAGCTGCGCACTGGAGAGTTGATCCCTGGCTCCGGATCTCGCCGAGTCTTCAAGTGAGGCCAGAAGCCTTCGAAGGAGCATACGATTGGAACATGCTGGAAGCCCAATACTTCAGAAAGCTTTAAGATATAGAGAATATAAGGAGTGTTGAAGGCTAGCGTGAATGCCTCCACTCGTATGCCTTTCGTACCGCAGGGACCGCATTTGGCTGAGGAAAATGCCACGCGTGCCCGTGGGTGTCGATAGGACTCGACTCGGGTTGTTTTGTGATATATATATATATATATGTATAATTCACTTAGACACTCGCCAAGCACCAGTGTCTGCATAGTCTGCTGGATACTCCGGGTAGTCCAGCAGTTCATCTCCGAAATCCTTTCAGAAAATAGAGTGACAAAAGAAGCTTGCCTAGACCCGCAAAAAACTTGCCTTGACCAAAAGAATGTACCTGTCGTACCTGCGAGCTGTAGGGCTGGTGTGTTCGCCCCACTTGACCTATGTCACTTACAGAATATATCCTTTTGACTACGAGTTGCGAGGCCTATACACTGAAAACATAGCTTCGCAGCTGCCTTCGCAAGCCTACGCGACACGCCGTTCTGTATTGAAGGGCGCCTTAGTGGCGCGTTAACAGGGATCATATGGTACGTACTTTCGCGAAACGGTTTCGAAAAAACAATTGGGACGCGCAAATCCGATGCAATTCTTAGGCAATTTTTGCCCTCCGGAGTTGCCCTTGCGAAGAATCATTGTGAAGCCTACACAAACTGCGAGAATTGCCTTCCTGGGCCCATAGGCATTGCCACTTTCAGACCATAAAAAAAAATGTCCTTGTGTATATGCTTGCTCGCAGAACGCAGGCACCGGCGGCTTCTGCTGTTGGCTCCGAATTCCAGAACTGACTACACTGCCCTTCCCTGGTAATCTGTTTGCAGCATCACTTGTCTTTGTTGGGCAGGCAAGGAGTTCGGAGTGCTTTAGAAAGGAAAACCGGGAAGTGCTAGGCACATACTCTTTGAATGGGTTTGTCATTTCAGTCCACCAGGGTGTATAAAAAATCAATTTGGCAGTGTGAGGGATGAGTCAGCAGCACCACACACACTCTTAAGATCTCTTAAGATGGAATATGTACGGGCTGAGTGCCACATGCGCTGAAGATGCCTAAGCAACCATAAGGCCTAAGTTCAACCAAAAGTTCCAAGTTGGCAGAGTAGCAAGTGTCCAAAGTTCCAGAGTCATGCCTGTAGAGCGTGTTAGCCCTGCACCAAAGAACAGAAGCAAAGGCCAGCAGCTTGTTCTAGTTACCACGAGAAACTAGAACACAGCAGGTCCGTGACTTTGGCATCCCAAAGGTCATATCACGACACGATGGAAAGGTCTTCGTTGGGCAATGCTTTCCCAAGTATCCATTGCCCCCTGCTGCTTGTCAAATCGAAAAGGATTCTAAAGACAACCTATGAATCCAAGGCTATTTCAAAGCCCGAACACGTCCATGTTTGCCCAGGGTAGGCGCCCCTCGTTGAGGAATCGATCCATCAAGTTCAATTGCCCAGAATCTGGCAAATGCTGACATCCTTCATATACGTTGATCTAAATTCTTTCATCCGGGATCCGTCGTTCTTAGCCAAAAACATTTTAGACGTTAGACAAATGCTCGCCTTCCTGCGTTTTATCTTTCGCCGAAATATGTTGTATATATGTTTGCCATGTATGTTGTTTGACGGATATCATTTTTGGTTCATGTCAATGGTTTCTTCTGTACTGGCAAATACGAAATATAAACTTCACTGTTTATCAGCATGTGTCTTCTACTTAACTGTGACACCCTGTACGTCTCTTTTTCGTTTCTCCAGGGTGTCTGCAAGAACCAAAAAATGCAAGAATCACTGTGGCAGCCGGTCGCTCAGACTTACTCATAATGGGCTGAGGGTCAGATGTGGCAGGGTGAACTTTCGCCAACCTTGAGCTGAAGACTCGCCAAATTTTTCCTTTTGCGGGGTAGAGGTCGTCGTGGTAGTAGTAGTAGTAGTAGTAGTAGAGGTCACAGTAGAGGTAGTAGGAAAGGTAGTAGTAGAGGTAGTAGTAGAGGTAGTATAGTAGTAGTCGTAGTCGTAGTCGTATAGTCATAGTCATAGTCATAGTCATAGTCGTAGTCGTAGTCGTAGTCGTAGTCGTCGTAGTAGTAGTCGTCGTCGTCGTCGTAGTCGTAGTCGTAGTTGTAGTAGTATGTAGTAGCAGCAGCAGGAGGAGCAGTAGTAGTAGCAGTAGCAGCAGCAGTAGTAGTAGCAGCAGCAGCAGCAGTATAATAGCAGCAGAAAGAACATTTATAGCCATATCTTTCGCATTCTTTCGCCAAAAAATACTTTCGCCAACTTGTGCAAAACTTTCGCCAAATGAGATTTTGACATGTTCCAGGGTCATCGTCATCAACAATCCCTATTAGGGCCTTTAGATCGACAACCGTATATTGTTGGACAGTGGCTCTCAAACACATGACATGATGAAAAAGTCGGGACATAATACTGCAACTCACTCGACTGTTTACAGTTTGACTGCCAGTGTCCTGTCGGTGTCGCTCACCGTAAGTGACCGCTTTGCCGCGCCTCTGCACCGTGAGCTTGGCCGTAACGCAGGGCAAGTGGTGTATTACTTCCTTTCCAAGATGGCACACACAGAGCGAGAGAGAGAGAGAGAGAGAAAGAGAAAGAGTCGGTCAGTCAGTCAGTCAGTCCGTCCGTCTGTCCGTCTGTCAGTCAGTGCGCCCGCCCGCCAGCCAGCCAGCCAGTCAGTCAGTCACTCAACAAACGCAAAGAATGAATGATTCAAAGAATTGCAACACTGCCAGCGCCTCACCGTTGCAACCGAGAAAGTACAGCGCTGTATGGGTATCCTTTCTTGGCTCATGACACTCCCACTATTCACTTTGTGAATCTTTGTGAGCACGTGTCAAAATCGCAAGCAAATGCAAATGTATGTCCTTGTCAGGCTCTCGCTGGAATCCATCTCTTGAGACCTGATTCATGCTGAAAGAATCCCCACGCTACCTGCGTTAAACCTTGTGTTTCAGTCCTTATCGTTCCAACAATGTCCAGTCAGTTTTACAACTGCTTGTTGTCGTACAGTATGTGGGCGATGGTATCTCCTTCCGTGTTCATTACCCTTTGCTTCACAAAACCAAAACTGCTTGGATGTACGTTGTGAGAACCACGCTCTACAAGTGCTTTTGTTGTGGCTTCGCCAGGCAAATGCGACTTCGCCAGGCTTTGCCACCCTACTCCCAACTCGGCCTTGCAAACTATCAAAGCTTGGCACGGCCAAGTGGGGCATTATGGTAGATTGTGGGGGAATGGTCTGGCCTGGAGACATTTTGGTGAAATTTTTTTGTCGTTTCGGTATGGCAACTATACTCCAATTACTGACGCGCGCTCGACGAAACGCGCTTGTTTCCTGCAACTCGAGCCTAGTGTTAGGCGGTAGTGTTCAGTATATGTGCAAGGAGAGTGTCCACTTTACACCCTGCCTTTCAAGGCCATTCTTTGGAAAAGTAGCCTTTGAACTACTTTCGGTGTTCACCGTATGGTGCACCTACTCAGTTCTCTGGCTCTGGTTCTTCAATTCCCTCTTCTGGCCTGTCGGCCAAATCTTCTTCCGCTCTTTGTGGCATGTCTTCATCGTCTTCACTCCTGTTTTCTTCTGGCGATCCATCGCCTTCGCGCTCATCTGGTGTTAGCGGTGGTCCATAGTGAGCCGCTACCCATCCATCTGGGTATTCACTTTCTCCCAGTGGGACGTCCATCGATTCATCTCCCCTTCGAACGTGGAAGGTGTACTGCCTCAGGCTCAGAATCTCAGGTGATCTATCACCATCTTCCTCCCTTCTGGACCACGGACTGATGATCCTCTCAAGATTCTTGAAGGTCCTCACGCCTTCAGGTAAGTCTTCATCTCCAGGGTTCTCTTCGATCATGTCTTTGAACTCTCTGATCTTCATGGTCAGATACACCTCGATGCCTCTGTCGATTTCAATCATCTCCATTCTGTACCTTTGGTACTCTTCTCCTTCAAGTCTGATGTACTCATCTTCGCTGTCTGCCTCCAAGTGCTCAGCCAGGCTTCCATAGTCGGCGTTCTCGCTTTCGCTTCCTTCATCTTCATCTTCTTCACTTGGAGATGTGTCTTCCTCCAATCTCACCATTCTCACACGCACCTCAGTCTCATGGATGTATCCATCATCGTCTGTATAGGTGCTTCTTCTGGCGCTTCTTCTTACCTCTCCATCTTGCTCTTCTGCCTCCTCTTCGATCTCAGAGCAAAGTTCCAACCGCTGACCGGTAGGTTGTCCTTCTTTCATCGCTCTCCTTCCTCTCTGCTCCATCGACCTCCACTGTTCCTGGTGTCTTTGACCTTTTCAGAGGGCTCATCAACTTGACCAAGTTGTGGACGTACTTCTCGTTCACCATGATCTTTGTCGTCGATGCATCCACATTGGTGGTCCTCTTGAGGAAACTCAAATTCTCACCCTCTTCGATCGACACCTTGTACCTCTTCATCAGGCGGTCTGTGATCTTGGCAAATGCTTCATCGGTTCCACCGATGATCATGTAGATGGACCAGCAAGATCAACTGTTCTCCTCTCCACAACGGCACAAGCACGGTCACTCAGACAGTCCACGATTCTGCTAGCACAGCCCAGGCTTCGACCTCAGCAACTTCGACAACAGTGATCCTGGACGATGAAGAGGATGAGTTCGCTGAGAGCTCAGTGAGGATGGTGAAGGCAGAGGCATACGACCTCACATACAGTGATGAGGATGAGGGTCGCCCTTGGAAGCGAAGATGCAGGAGGCAATGCCCGCTTTGTGAGCTTCGAGGCTTCGAGGACTTACCCACGAGGTTGGAGGAAGCCAGAGCGGTTCGAGTCCGCTAGTGGCGAACGTGAGGAGCATCCAGGTGAGGTGACGGTCGTCTTGGACACTGGAGCTGACGTTTCAGTGCTGCCGCTGTCTTTCAAAGGTGTTGGTCGGTGATTGTCGAGGACCAGCGAGGGAGGCCTCATGAGGGGAGGCCAAATGCACCAGGCTCACGTCACCCTTTAAGACGATGAGGGCCAGGTCACGCAGCTTCGCTGTCAAATGTGTCAGAGCCTTTGCTGGCACTGGGAAAGCTGCTGAGGAGAGTTTGGAAGATTGAGGGCCAGGACGGTCTTTTTCGCCTGACCCACGGAATGTTCAGCAAAGGGTTGCAGTTCAGGAACAACTCTCCCATTGCTGGAGCACGAATTCGAGCAGTTGAGGTTTTCCAGTGGACAGAATGGGGAAGAGAAGCAGGCAGGTGAGGGCAGTCACAATATCCCCCTTCGTACCGACCGCTAACGT